TACACAAAGCCACTTTTAAAAATAGTACAAAATTCTTAAGCAAGTTAATTGGCAAGCTACCTGGCTATACATTAACAATAATTAAAAAATTTCAAACTTTTTGTACAGCTTTCGGTCCTCTATTCTTAAATTCTTTAAAATCAAAATTCTATTAGATGTTCTTTCTATTTCATATATTTTATATAAATGATATTACTCATACTCACTTATCTGTCACCAATGTTATCAAATCAGTTTTCATCTTCACTGAACAACCTGTTCATCTAATTAATTGCTATTCAGCCTTATAAACATTTCATTACAACATACTTTAAACACTAAAACACTCAATACTACTTTAAATATTATAGCCAATTTACACAACCAAATTAAGCTGTTGAGTAGTATTGTAATAGAATTTACTTTTTTTTATATTAGTATATATTTATTTTTAGCTCTATATTATATTTTATATTTTTTCTAATATTTTACATAGTTAATAGATTATTTGATTAGTTTTAATTGCCTATTTAATAGGTTAATATTTATTTTATTAATAGATTTCTTATAATATTTTATTTTAGCCAATAGTTGTTGAAATATCTAAAAATATAATTGTTTAGTATTACAAAAGCCCTGACCAAAAACTTTAGGTTATGCCCCAGGTGCTTCAGGACACTTTAAAATAATAGAACAATTAATTTAATTATAATTAATTAATATTTATTAATTATAATACAATATTTACTATAATATTTTATATAGTTTCTATGTACTACTATAGTTATTTTTAGATGTGCTTGGAAAAGCACCTGTAAGAAGGCTTCTGAATGCTAAATAACTATAGAGAGTTTTGTAGATAAACATATAGGCTATACAATGATATTTTTGTTTTATTTTTAGTTAATATATAAGTTATTGCACAATGGAGTGCTAAGCATTAGTAAAAATAGAAAAATGCAAAATTGGTTTATCATTTGTGCACAAATATTATTAGTAAAATATATATGAAATTTCTTAATTTTAGCTGCATTATGGATGTTTATATGGTCTAGAATGATGTTACAACACATGGTACTTTAAAACCAATCAATTATTAGGTTAAAAGCTATAAAAAGGATAGCTTTTTGCTTTTCTAAAAGAACAGTTCTTGGAAAACTCTTAATAGTTTTTAGAAGTTCTAAAATAGTTCTTAAATAACTTTTTTTTAAAAGTCTTTTACTGATATAGAAGTGCTTTTATATCTTAAATTATTCTTTAATAAAATATTATTTTATTTATTTTATCTTATTATTATTAATAATCTATTCTTTATTTTATTCTTTATCTTATTTTTTTTTATAATTTATTTTTATTTAGTTTATTTTTCTTATAATAATATAAAGTGAAAAGCTGGTTTTCTTAATTAGTTATTTGGCAAATACTAGTTTTATATTATTGAAATTTAAAGATTATATATAGCTGTTTACAGTCTGATTATTAAGGTTTTTCTTTCTCTGATTATACTTTACAGACATTTTTAAGTTTTAAAATCCAATAATTCTTGTATAGAATAAACATTTTGTTACATTTGACCTGCATAGACTAGACAGTAGGATTAGTTTAAAAGCTGGTTCTATTGTTATACCTTATAGTGTTTAGAAGATTAATGAATTTAAATTTCACTTTTATATATTTATTTCTTACTTTTGTTTATTTTTATTTATTTTATTTTTTTTTTTAAATAAAAAATCTTCTACTTGGCATTTATGTATTTAAAATTACTACAGTTTGCTAGTTTTTAGTAAATTTTATTACAATATTAGATTTAGTAATTTAGTAATTAATAGATCATAATTAGTAAGTTGTTAGATAAATTAATTAGTAATTAATAAGTTATAATTAGCAAATTGATAGTTAGAGTTGGTTGATTAGTAGTTTAGAATTAGAGTTAGAGTTAGGTTTTAGAATAATATTCTTAAATTAGATTAGTAATTATTAGTCTTATAGATCATAAAATTATAAATTAGTTAGTTATTAGAATTATATAATTTTATTGCAGTTTATAAAATAATTTTTTAGGCAAATTTGTTCAAAAAAGCTTACAGATTAAAAGATAAAATATAAAAACTAAATTTAATATTATATTTAAAACTTAAAACTACTTTCTATTTAAAATAATTAAAAATTTAATAATATTTAACTTATATTTAGAGAATCTTAAAATATTAAGAATATTATTAAGACATATAGTGACTTAGTAAAATAGATAAGTTGTCAACCTTCAAATAATAGGTTAGGAGTTCAAAACCTACTAACAGTAAAAATTTAGATAATCATCAATGTAATATATAAACAATATTATAATAATAACATTTTGTTAATTGGTTAGAATAGAATATCTGTAACTATGATTATACTAGCATGACTAACAGGTCATAAGGCATCTGTATAATATTAAAGTTACACAAAGAAATGCAAACTGGCATCAGATAGTGTAAACCCAAGATAAGTTCTTGTGGTTATATAAATTCATAGAACTAAAAAACCAGAGCCTATTTGAAAAGATTTAAGCAAAGAAGTAGTATAGATTTTTGACAATACTACTGTAAAGACTAAATCTAAAAAATGAATATGATATAGAAAAAATTAAGCAAACAAGAATTTATAATAAAAGATACTATTTACTAGACTGCCAGAAGTCTTAAACCAGAGAAAAAAGATCTTGAAAGGCAGACTCTGAGATATTAAAAACAGGTTACAGTTCTTTTAGACTATCTGAATTAAGAGTTTGAGAACTAAAGCAGAATATAGCTTAAGTATTAGAGATATACTATGAAATCAGTACTAAAATCTGAATGAACTTTGCAAGAATAAGCCCTGTTAACAAAAGATTAAATATAAGTAGTTAGTTAGCAAAAGAGCCCTTTAAAATCCTACAGTCAGGTAATGTACTTTAAAATATGTAATAGCTTGACAGACATACAGATAAGAGATTAGAGTTAGGTTAAACAGCATTTTGGTGTACAGGAACTTGTGTGGTTATCTGTTGGGTATAATATAAGAATCATCTTGTATAAGTTATATAATTATAATTAAATTACAATAAAGACAGTAGTTGCTGATAACTAATGACTTTAGTGAAAGCAAAAAAAATATATTATTAAGATATTACAAAGATATTGACAAGATATTACAAAATTATTACAAGATATTATTATAAAAATATCATTAAAAATATTATAAAAATATTATATATTTTATTTTTTTTGTATTTTATTTTGTATTTTCTAATTTGTTTTTTTAAATATCAAAAAAATTATAGAAACATCATCAAAAACACTACAGAAATAACATTATTAAGACATTACAAAAAAATTATTATTATTAAAAACTTCATAAATGTTTACAAAAATAATCAAGAACTTTATAAAAATATTATCAAGAATTCTACAATGTTCACAAAAATGTTATTAAAAATTTTACAGAAATATTGCCAAAAACTTATACATACATCATAAAAAATTAAAGTTAGTAATAGAAAAAAAAATAAATAATAATTATGAAAAAACGTTCATATGATTGAATTATTTTGAAAATTGTTACTAACATAGCAAAACACATAATGTATCTTCTTAGGTGGCATTTACAATTTACATCAAACTAGTCCTTGAAGGTAATAACATAAAATACTATGTTTGTATTATTTTTGAAATCCTTATAATAATACTAGTTTAACGTAAATGGGTTTAAATCACTGTTTAAAAAAATTCCAGATCATGTATGAAAATTTTATTAATATTGTAATAAGCATCGTATAATAATTGATATATTGTGTGGTGATTTAACCCCGGTTTTCATGGGCCGGAATGATTTTAATGCCGGCCAAATTAAACAGTTAACCTGTTATGAAAAATTTTAGGCTCCTATCCACCTTAAATGATTGCTATTTAATTATTCAATATTGATATCATCTATCGCTATGAACAAACGGCTTTATTAAATTTACTTTTTTTAATATATTTGTGCATACTCCCCTGACAAAAGTCAGGTCTAACATAATTTGTTGATGACTACGTACGTACATAAACATTTTTTGTATGAACAGTAAGTTTATTTATCATGACGATTTATATGTAATTTGAGTTTTACGTAGAAAATTTCGATTTCTTAGAACTATTTTAGATTCTATAAAAAAAATAAAATAAAATAATTAAAATTTTTATATAACGACGCATTCTTAAACTCTAACTTAATTAAGACCTAAGCTAATATTAACAATACGTTTTTTTTAGACTTATTGTATTTAATTAAATTTTCATTTTTTAAAAAAAATCATTTTGGATATCTTTAAAATATTTATAAAATTTATATTAGAATCATCTAATAAATTAAAATTTATATTGTATGAGTGTCGCTAAAAGAAAACGTACCTATCTAAAAATAGTTTATGATCTATCTTTTAGATAGGTATGTACGTTTTCTTTTGCGACACTCATATTATAACAGTATAAGCTTATATTTCATTTTAGGATCATATTTCTGAATCGTAATTATATAAGTTTTATAATGATTTACTATGTAAAATACCAAAAATGTGACTTTTAGATCGAGTTCGGAAGCATATAGGATTAAAATTTCATCAAAAAATTTTAAAGTATGCGTCGTTATATAAAAAATTTTAATTTTTTTAATTTTTTTGTTTTATAGCATCCAAAGTGCTAAAAATAATTCAAAGAAATTTACCGAAATTTTCTAAAAATTTCCACGTTACATACAAATCGTCATAATAAACAACTTTATTCACTGCGCAAAGACCGATTTGCATATAAAAAATAATGATTTATATGTGGCTACGGTCATAAATTGGTTAGATTATTGAAAAGCCGATGACTTGTCAAGGGGTGTACTTTAGAAATATATTCAATAAGCTCAATTTTTAATTAATAGATTAATAAATTATTAATTCTTGAACTAGACAATACAAAAAACTATTTGAATTTCTTTAATTCATTTAATAAAACTATTATTTATTGCATATCTTAGTACTCTTCTAGAATTAATCTTGGTGCAATGTTCATACTTTGGAGTTCTTGAAAAAGTAACTTTGCAGCATAAGGCATTTGCATTGTTACCATATGCTTGCTAGATTTGCAATGCTGACACCATCCCCTGTACCCAATTAAACCACACTGTTCACAGACATGAACATCGAATTGGTCCGAAGATATCATTAAGCGTTCCATAAGTAACATACTAGCACCATAACCGACCAAACAGTCACGTTCCATTTCACCTAAACGCAATCCACCATCTCTCGATCGACCTTCAGTAGGCTGTCGTGTTAAAACGGCACGTGGACCTCTAAAAATAAATAAAAATAAAATAAAATAAATTTAATGCAACTTTGATTATTTATAATGAAAATATAACATACCGAGCACGAGCATGCATCTTATCAACTACCATGTGTTTCAATTTTTGGTAATATACTGGTCCAAAGAAAATATACGCAGATAGCGGTTCGCCCGTTATTCCTATAAATTAAAATTGTAAATCAAAAGACTAAAATTTATCAATTATATAATTATAATTCTGAATAATAGTTACCTGAGGTTACATAATCTTTACCAGAATAATTATATCCATGTTCAATCAGGATCCTACTCATATCTTCAACTTTACTACCACCGAATGCTGTTCCATATTGTAACTCTCCCTTTAGAACTCCAGCTTTACCTGCTAATAATTCAATCATTTTACCTACTGTCATGCGTGAAGGGAAACCATGAGGATTCATAATGATATCCGGACAAATGCCGGAATCTGTAAATGGCATATCTTCCTGTGGCACGATAATACCACAAACACCTTTTTGACCGTGACGAGATGAGAATTTATCTCCTAATTCTGGTATACGTGTCTGTCTAATTAGAACTTTAATCAGAGTTTGTTCCTGCTCAGTGGTTGTTATGCAGACCTAAAGTTGTTATAATGTTAATAATCATCACTAATTATTTAAACATCCTGTAAACGAAGTAAATCTAAACCTTATCAATATAACCAGTTTCTGGTGATTTATAAGATAAAGGTGCATGTTTCCAGGTGAACTGAACCACTGGTGCATTGGCAATAGGCATATTTACTGGAATATTTGTGTTTAGATTTGTTGGTGTATGCCTGTTTACGATAACTTGCCCAGGACTAACTCGTTCACCGACGCCTGCAATTCCATCCTCTTCCAAAATATTAAATCTATCGGCCGATGGTCCCGTGGGTAAACTTTCCGATGGTGGTGGATCTCCAATGCGATCAAAAGAACCATTTGAATATCTCTTCATTAGAGCAACATGTTTCCTCATAACTTGACAACGGCCAAAACCACGATCAACTGATGCCTAAAAAAAAAGTAATAATATTTGAGGATTAATTATTAAAATAATTGTTTGAATGAACCATACATATAAAAAGATACATACTCTGTTCAACACTAAAGCATCTTCAATATCATAACCAGAATAACTCATAACTGCAACTATTGCATTTTGTCCTGCTGGAAGCTATAATACAATTCAATGTCAATGATTTTATTTCAACAATTATAACAATAATCTCGAAACCAATAAACGTACCTTATCATACCCAACCAACTCAATGGTTTTTGTTTTTACCATCGGTTGCTGGGGATATACCATAAGATACAAAAGGGTATCTATTCTTCGAAGTTGGTTATATGCAATAGCACCAATAGCTTGTTTTCCCATAGCACATTGATATCTAAAGATATCCGAAATGTTTTAAGAAAATTAATTCATTTGTATTAGATTAACAAAAGCGTAAGTAACTTACGTGTTTCTAGGACTTTGATTATGATGTGGATATGGAATTAAACCTGCTACAGCGCCCAAAATCGTAAATGGTTCAATTTCCAGATGTGTAGTTTGATGGTCAATTTCACGTTCATATATAGCAACATTTGAATCATTTTCTTCATTTACATCTAAATATTCGACAAGTCCTTGTTCCAAAAAATCAGCAAATTTCATCTTGTCTTGTTTTAATTTCTGATAAGGAAAAATTTTATAGATTTTAAAAAAAGTAAAATTGATGAAAATAATTATCCTAATAAAAATAATGGGAAGTTTTATTTCACCTACTTTAATGTGCTCTGAAGTCACTTTTGGTGTATTATTCTCCACTATAATTAAGGGACGACATACACGACCACCATCTGAAGCAATATGAACTGCTGCATGATGATGATTTACATAAATGCTAACAAACTCTGAAATCCTACCACAACGGCGTAAGATTCGAAAATCTTTGACAAAATCAATAGGTTGACGCGTAATTCCAAGCATGAGACCGTTCAAAAATACCATATAAACGTTTTGTTGATATAGTTCAGAACCTGTGAGACCGTTCACATCTAATAATTTAAGAAATAAAATAGTAATAAAATATTGTAATTTAATATCTCTCGCTATTTACATTTTACGATCATTTAAAAATGTATTAAAATGGAACCTTCGACTCCAAGATTAAACGCAAGTCTCTTTAAAGGCTCCTCTTCATCATCAGTTGTGATATGCGTCATTAAAGCAAGATTTTTTACTAACCCGCAAGCTTCACCTTCGGGGGTATCAGCAGGACAAAGCATGCCCCATTGTGACGGCTAAAGCCCAAAAATAATATTGTTCCAAGTTATTTCTGATATAAAAAACAAGAAAATCACTTTCAAAGTCTCTGCGATCAAACATAACAAGATTGTCGAATTCATTAAATGCACTATTAAAAAAAAAAATAAAATAAAAAGTGCATAAAGGACACGAAATTCGACAATACATCATTTTAAAACCAACCTGAAGAGCACGAGGTCCACTAATTTTTCGTGTTTTTTCATACTGAGATGTAATCCTAGTCATCGTTCCTAATGCTGAAATATAACTTAATCTGCTAAGAACGTGCGTAATACCAGCCCTCTCCATCTTAAATCGTTTTAATGACCAATTTCCAGTAGCAATTGCACGAACAAACCCGTTCGTTATACAGTCGCCATGTTGCATTAATTGTTTATGTGCATCAAATTCAGATGCCCTATTAGGTTTCTTCAATAATTTATCGATATTAAGCTTTAAATCAAAATTGAACTTTTTAAATAAATCCTCAAATAGAAGTGATAGTAAGGAGCCTGCACTATAAAACATGGTATGAGTATTACGTATGCATAATTTATAATATTATCAACTAATTTTAAGCAAACTTACAGTTCTAATCGCTTATTTCCAACATAATCACGATCATCTACCAAGCTCTCATTTGCTAAAGCCATTAAGACGCGTCGGATCATAATAGCAATGTAAATGCATTTTGGCTGAAAATTCAAATCTTTTACAGGAACATGAGCAAGTACAACAGTTGAAAGGATTTCCAATGCTTCCTCAGCCATAGGTCTTCGTACATTAGCAATTTTCCTTGTTACTTTAACTTTACTTCCTATATAATCTAAAGCTTGCTTCTGAGTAAATATATTCATACTCGCACACACTTCAATATTTGGGGAAAACATATTCAAAAATGTTTGATTTCCTCCTGATATTAATTGGGCTATTTCTTTATCAGATTGAATTCCCATAGCCTAAGCGCATATAAGTCAATAAAATAAGCAAATTATATTAAAGTTTAAAAGCCGAATAAAATATATACCTTCATTACTATCACAATTGGGATTTCCTCAGAAATTGAATTATGTTTCAATGTAATTTTATCATTTTTTGCATCATTCTTTGCAACTATATAAGTTTTACTTTTTCTTTCGTGGGTTGAACTTTTGTAAAAATATCGATTATTATAAGAACTATGAATTAACAGATCTTAAAGAATCAACAAGAGAATACAAAAATTACAAACCTTGTCACGTAAGCTTGAACAAGACCTTTTCTGTCACCTTCAACTATAATACGATTTTTTGAAAGTTGTTCCTGAATAAGTATAACTTTCTCAGTTCCTTTTATAATAAAGTATCCACCTATAGGTAACAAAAATTTTTTATTAGAACGTTATATAATAATGGTAATAGTAGATTTTCAAATGAATAATGGAAGACAAATAACCTCAAATCAAAACAAATAAATTTTAGGTGGGTCGATTATTACCTGGATCCAAAGGACATTCAAACATTTTAGCCAATTCTGCTTCTGATTTTCCGGTTAATACACACTTTGAACTTCGGAGCATTATAGGTAATTTTCCGATAATTGTATCTTTACGAATAACTCTTGTTTTACCACGTACATATTCCACGTCAACATAAATATTTCCTGAGTAAGTTAAATCACGTAATCGACATTCATGAGGCGTGAAGACATTATGTTGCGTTTCATGATCGGTATCAGGTCGATCTGGTGGACCGATCCTTATATCATGATATCTATAAAAAAATGAAAGAATTATAGTAATTAAAATAATTTTAATTATATATAATAAATTAGCAAATAATTAGTTACTTACTTTAACCAGAAAGCTGGATCAACGTCCGAAGTAATCATATCATTTGCGCGAATGATCTTTTTTAATTCGGTTTCAACAAAGAAATTAAAAGAATCGATATGCTGTTTCACAAGTCCCTTGACTTTTAAAAAGGCAGGTAACAACTCCCATTTATCCTACAAAAATATTGATTACCACGGGCAAAATTTAACTCGCGTAAAAAACAGATATATACGTACCTCAACATTCTTCACTGGATCAGTTAATCCTTTTCCTTTATTAGACAAAATCTGTTTTAGTTTTGCATAAGAAGTCTCATAATTTTCGGTGTTAATTTCATCAGCGAAAGTGACAGTCTTTTTGCCCATTATTGTATAAATTTCAGTAGGCAAAAATGAAGGTAGTCTAAAATTTGTTTTGAACGTTGATCTAACGATTTTGATTGGACAATCAATGCCAGGACAATTCCAACATTGATTGCCCAATCAAAATTGTAAATTGCCAGGAACAATGCATCTTTTGACGTGAGCTTATACATTTTGAACTCAAAAATTTTATTAAGATGGCCAGTTTTTTAATTTTATAATACGTAAAAATGTTCAGATTAAAGAAAATGACCTTATGAGACATAGTAATTATTATGTCCCATAAGGTCATTTTCAAGGCAAAAACCTCATATATTAATTATTGTAGTTTGGATCAGTGTCTGAAATTGGGTTGCGAAGCTTGTGAACCGCAATTGATTTATAAGTTCCCGATCTCGCAAATAAATTTTTGTGAATTTGCATATAGATATATTCGAATTTGCATATAAATACATTCATATACGCAAGTAAAGTTTTTTATTTAGTTGCAGGCCTGCAACTAAATTAAAAATTGAATTTCAGACACTGGTATGGATGAAAAATTGAATCTAACATGCCAAAAACTTTGGACACCGAAAATATACACAACACTGATGCCATGCACTAGTGCCACGAGCATAAAGGTTGTCGGCAAACATCTTTTTAGCACAAGCATTTTTAGGCTAATACTTTTATACCTGCGCCTTTAATAGTAACTAGCACTTTGTACCTGTATCTATAATAGTGTCTTACACTTTTGTGCTATAGGCAAAAGCGAAGCACGAGCAACTAGTACTTGGAATGCGTCTGGCATAAGCATTTACAGACCCCGAGTATTACCATTAAGCTGTCTTCATGCCTTTGCAAAAGGATAAGTTGATATAAACATGCTAGCATTCATACAGCTATCAGTTATATAGATTATATGTTAACTATCTTAACAGTATTAAAAGTATTGTGTTATTGTTGTGCCTCAGATCGATGTTGCGTCAGGTGACAGCTGACGCACCTCAGATATCAATCACTAGACAAGGTGTCTCAGGTGATCTGAGATGTGTCAGTCGTAACCTAACGCATTGAATTTTTTTTTAGTATTTTATTTATTTTATTTGAAACAATATACGCATTTCATATTTTATATTTTTATATTGGCAAATTACATAAGCTATTTATTTATTCATTATTCTGACATGAACGTCTGCCATGACATCTACTGCCACATTTGCCATCATTTTTTTTACAATGACATCTATTACTATTATAATCACTTTTACAACTACAAATTGCACATGATGTGCCTATACTTTGAAGCTGTGCTGCTTTTCTGATTGATATTTTATTAGGTGGTATAATATTAAGTTCAGAAAAATTAGTGGTGCCCAAAGGCTTAATTTTATTAGCAAAATAAAAAACCTCAATAATTCTAAAATTTAATTCTAATTGATACTTGTTATTTTAGTTTTATCAAATATTTTGTATAGTAGAGTTGGTTAATTAATATTAAATCTGTCAATCTTGAAAATGATCATTTTTATTTTTATTTTTTTTATTTTTTATTTTTTTTGCTTATGCTAAGGCCTTTTTAGTTATGGCAGCTACTGTCTTTATTGTGAATTCAATTATGATTACATAACTTGTACAAGGTTACCTTTATACTACACTAGCAGATAGCAGCACAAGCTCTCGTACACCTAATTAGATGCCATCTAACCTAACCTTGACCTCCCTGTTTGTACATCTGTCAGGCCGTTACATATTTCAGAGTACATTACCTGACTATAGAGCTCCAGGGGGCCCTCCTGCTAACTAACTACCCACATCTAATCTTTGCTAACAGGACTCACCCTTGC